TTTTTTGTTTTTTTTTTTTTTTTTGTCCCACTAGATTTTTATCAAACAAGGTTTTAACAAGAAAGATATTTTGTAATGTGTCATTCAAGGGAGAGTGTTGTAAAAAGAGAGTAAATTAGGGTTTAGTGTGAATGACACTTGTACTCCTGCGACAATTTATTTCCTCATTTCCGAAGCACGATAATATTATATATTGGTATAAACTATCTTCAAAGACTATGTACTATTAATGAAAGGTTGAAAATAAAAATTCAATAAAAAAAGTTAGGAGTATAAATGTTAAAGTAAGTAAAGATTAAGAACCTTAAATAAAAATTAAATTGTGGTGTAACTAATTAAAAATATTTGTATGAATATAATTACCCCAATAAGTTTCCAAAACAAATCTAATTACAATTAAATCATCAATTAAAGAATGTCAAACTTAAATAATAAGGGGATGATCCCTAGCTAACTTAATGATCTAATTCACAACCCTACAATTCTTCCCGATTTCTCCCTCGTTACCAGTCAGGGCATCTATGTATCCCATCTTCACCATTGCAGCTGCAAACTTATGTTTCCAAGCCATTTCATTCTTGGCATTTTCCCTCACAATCCCAGCCGTTGATGGGCTACTCATAAGAGTCTGATCAGATGTTAACACCCCTTGATGATTCTTCAAATTTTTATAGTATTTATTGTCCAAACTGTTTGGTGTCAGGACATCAAGTGGCACAGTTTGATCATTTGCAGCATTTGATGGACACTTTTTCTTCAATGCTCTAGCAAACATAGGATCCAATGACGGATCTAGTGGATGAGTTGAACTGAAATTGTAGAGACGTTTCGAGAAGGAAGAACAATGTGAAACTCCAATCGAATGTGCTCCCAAAAGGGTCACCATGTCTTGTAACGAAAGGCCTTTTCGCGCAAACCTTTCTTCAATTTGTTTGGCATTGAATGTAGGAGGAGTAGGGCTACACATGGGTCGGTTCGGTTCGATTCTCATTAGAATCGAACCAATCCAATCCAAAATGTTCGAGTATTTAATAAATGGAACCGTCGGGTCCAAATATAATTATGGAACCGTTCGAGTTCGGTTCGATTTGGTTTTGTTCAGTTCCGTACCATAATTACATTTTTTAACATTTACAGCACCACATAAATACAACTAATGACATGTTCATTCGTAATTTTTACAAACTAACTTAGCACAATTTAAAAACATATAAATAGCGCGTTGTCCAATAAGATTAATTCAATGTATACAAAAATCAAAAAGTAGATACTAATATTAAAACATCGGTAATCTATATCAGTAATTCCTTTACTTCAAGCAGCTTGCATAAAGAAAATGAAATATAAATTAAAAGTTAGAAAAATAAAATGTTTTAAGTATTGGTAATACTTACCAGTAATCATAAATTGCTCAACTTGTCATAATAAGAAACTCTATAAGCATAATTAAAAAAGTACAATTAACGAACACAAATAAACTAAAAATGTTCAACTAATAAGATTTACTAATTTGTTTTAAAAAAATTTTAAAAAAGTTAATTAATTCAATATAAAAAATTTAAAAAATTATTTAGATTCGGTTCTTCGATTCTTGGTCCAGAACCGAGAACCGACCCAAACCATTGGTTCTCGATTCAGATAATCGTTGGGGTATTTAATTTATGAAGAACCGCTCAGTTCGGTTTGGTTCGGTTAGGTTTGGGAACATTGTCCAGCCCTAAGGAGGAGGAAGGTCCTGATCTGGCTCGTCTTTTAGGGATATTCTTCCATCTCGACGCCCTGATGGCACCACATATGTTATTCCACCAACAACATGAGCACTGTCGCGAGCAGCGAATGCTATGATATCTGAGCACGAGACTGTTTGTGGGCATATGGCCTCAAGTTCAGCCTTCGCCTCATCAATCACTTTATATCCATGCAAGCTCGGGTTGTTTGCCGGATTATCCTTCTCTACAGGATTACCTGGTGTTGAATCAAGCAACACCGAAGCATCATACCCCTACAAAACAAGAAACACTACACCAAATTAATCTTTCTATGTCAGCAAAAAGATATGGCAGGCAGTAAAAAATATTCCGCTAGATAATGATCAGCTAGTGAGACAGACACACTCTAATGCTTAACTCAGTGCAATAAAGTAAAAACGAAATAACTAAGGGTATACCCTAACAAAGCAATCATGAAAATGCATTCTAATGAGGCTTGCTGCTATGCCAGGGTTTCTTGAGACAACTTTGTGCACTGCTTTCTTTACAATTGCTTCTGTTGGGAGGAGATAGAATGATTAGCTTACAAATCAAGACTATATATGTGCAAAATCATGAACTAAGTAAACTGAAANATCAAGACTATTCATGTGCAAAATCATGAACTAAGCAAACTGAAATTATGAACAATAGGAACCGAAATCAGAAACTCAAGCAATAACTGAACATGAAGAACAATAGTCTGTAAACCGAACACTAAAGAAGCCAAAATACAACAGACTAAATTGCAAAAAGAAACTTACCTTTATTCATCAAGCCCACAGGTCGAAAATCACAATATATGCCTTAATCTCGAATAACCACAGTTATAAACTTGAATCAAAACACCAACAGTAAGGTACAAAAGGATGCCACTTAGTCTTGACCGATTATTACACAAAAATAATAGATCTCTCTTCACAGCCAACAGTTCACACAAGAACCAACCCTCAAACAAGAAAATCACTAAAGATTATACACTATTGAGAGAAAATCAGGAAATCAAATGAGAGTATTTGATTTCTACAGTGAAGAAGAAGACTCAAGAGAAACGACGTAGAGAGCAGAGAGTGATTAGAAAAGTCTCGAAGAAGTGAGGTCTCAAACCCTAGAAAACGCTCTTATATGAGTCACTCAACAGTCGTCAATCCAACGGCGTTCGAGGCGACACGTGGCTACATCACAGGTTTCTAATTCTAAGGTAATGAGAAACACGATTTCAGCTTTCTTCAGAACATGTTTTGCACCAATTAAAAAACCACAATAGATTTGGGTTGGACTTCAATTAATTCCAGCTGGGCCAACAACTTGAGCCCATTGGCTCATTGCATCATTGTGCCACAATTTCCTTTCAACTTCTGCAGAAGGGCAGCTATATTGGTAATAACCAACTTTTGGGGAAGCCAATGAAACAGATGTGCAACAAGAAAATTAATGGGCTAAAAAATTTCACTCCACCAGTCATCATAATAATATACCTAAAATAAATCAAGAAACAACTGATTTTTCTAAGGAAAAACTGTGTTTTGTTAAGCCAAAGAACAATAGAGAAAGTTGAGGTGATTGTATGTTGGGTTGTTTTTGAAGTATATATATAGTGAACAATGGTGGGGGTGGGTGGGGTCGGAGTACTGAATAAGTCTTTGTAAAGTAAAGAAATCCGCGTGTAAATATTATAACAGCTGCAGAAAAGTAGATACTAATATTAAAATATCGGTAATCTATATCAGTAATTCCTTTACTTCAAGCAGCTTGCATAAAGAAAATGAAATAAAATTAAAAGTTATAAAAATAAAATGTTTTTAAGTATTGGTAATACTTACCAATAATCATAAATTGCTCGACTTGTCATAATAAGAAACTCTATAAGCATAATTGAAAAAGCGCAATTAACGAACACAAATAAACTAAAAATGTTCAACTAATAAGATTTACTAATTTGTTTAAAAAAATTAATTAATTCAATATAAAAAATTTAAAAAATTATTTAGATTCGGTTCTTGGTCTAGAACCGAGAACCGACCCAAACCATCGATTCTCGATTCAGATAATCGTTGGGGTATTTAACTTATGAAGAACCGCTCGGTTCGGTTTGGTTCTGTTCGGTTCGATTTGGGAGCTTTGTCCAACCCTAAGGAGGAGGAAGGTCCTGATCTGGCTTGTCTTTTAGGGATATTCTTCCATCCCGACGCCCTGATGGCACCGCATATGTTGTTCCACCAACAACATGAGCACTGTCACGAGCAGCGAATGATATGATATCTGAGCACGAGACTGTTTGTGGGCATATGGCCTCAAGTTCAGCCTTCGCCTCATCAATCACTTTATATCCACGCAAGCTCGGGTTGTTTGCCGGATTATCCTTCTCTGCAGGATTACCTGGTGTTGAATCAAGCAGCACCGAAGCATCACACCCCTACAAAACAAGAAACACTACACCAAATTAATCTTTCTATGTCGCAAAAAGATATGGCAGGCAGTAAAAAATATTCCGCTACATAATGATCAGCTAGTGAGACAGACACACTCTAATGCTTAACTCAGTGCAATAAAGTAAAAACGAAATAACTAAGGGTATACCCTAACAAAGCAATCATGAAAATGCATTCTAATGAGGCCTGCTGCTATGCCAGGGTTTCTTGAGACAACTTTGTGCACTGCTTTCTTTACAATTGCTTCTGTAGGGAGGAGATAGAATGATTAGCTTACAAATCAAGACTATATATGTGCAAAATCATGAACTAAGTAAACTGAAATTATGAAAAACAGGAACAGAAATCAGAAACTCAAGCAATAACTGAACATAAAGAACAATAGTCTGTAAACAGAACACTAAAGAAGCCAAAATACAACAGCCTAAATTGCAAAAAGAAACTTATCTTTATTCATCAAGCCCACAGGTCGAAAATCACAATATATGCCTTAATCTCGAATAACCACAGTTATAAACTTGAATCAAAACACCAACAGTAAGGTACAAAAGGATGGCACTTAGTCTTGACCGATTATTACACAAAAATAATAGATCTCTCTTCACAGCCAACAGTTCACAAAAGAACCAACCCTCAAACAAGTAAATCACTAAAGATTATACACTATTGAGAGAAAATCAGGAAATCAAATGAGAGTATTTGATTTCTACAGTGAAGAAGAAGATTAAAGAGAAACGGCGTAGAGAGCAGAGAGTGATTAGAAAAGTCTCGAAGAAGTGAGGTCTCAAACCCTAGAAAACGCTCTTATATGAGTCACTCAACAGTCGCCAATCCAACGGCGTTGGAGGCGATACGTGGCTACATCACAGGTTTCTAATTTTAAGGTAATGAGAAACACGATTTCAGCTTTCTTCAAAACACGTTTTGCACCAATTAAAAAACCACAACAGATTTGGGCTGGACTTCAATTAATTCCAGCTGGGCCAACAACTTCAGCCCATTGGCTCATTGCATCATTGTGCCACAATTTCCTTTCAGCTTCTTCAGAAGGGCAGCTATATTGGTAATAACCAACTTTTGGGTTAGCCAATGAAACAGTAGCAAATGTGCAACAAGAAAATTAATGGGCTAAAAAATTTCACTCCACCAGTCATCATAATAATATACCTAAAATAAATCAAGAAACAACTGATTTTTCTAAGGAAAAACCGTGTGTTGTTAAGCCAAAGAACAATAGAGAAAGTTGAGGTGATTGTATGTTGGGTTATTTTTGAAGTATATATATAGTGAACAATGGTGGGGGTGGGTGGGGTCGAAGTACTGAATAAGTCTTTGTAATATTAAGTAAAGAAATCCGTGTGTAAATATTATAACAGCTGCAGATTCAATTTCACTAATTTTGAGCAACTCCAAGTATTAAAATTCCTCCTTTCTGAGTTCCTTCCATTTATGTGGACTTGGTCTGTTTTCTCAGTAGAATTTCAACTTCTACAGTTAGACAACATATTTATTTCTGTACCGGCATTGACAAAGACAACAAGCAAATTTTTTTCAAATCCACCCTCCCAACAAGAACAAGAAATATCAGAAAAACTGAATTTGACTTTTTCATTTTGATTATATTTTATTTTGCCATTTGGATTGAAACTGTACGTAGTGCTAGCTATTTATTTATTTACAGTTGTTGACAATACAGTTTATAAGGGTAATTTTTTTTCTTATAATGCCCTTTCAACTAAGGTTTTGGACTGATACTGTCAATAAGGATGAATCCGGCTAATTTATCAGAATTGTGGTCGGAGTTGTTAGGAAAAAAAAGTTGGGGGCAGGATTGTGAAAAAGGAAGGTCAAAAGGTTTGGCACATAAAGTTTTAACTTAGCCAAATATGCTTTTAATTTTTTCTTGTTTAACAACTAATATCTAACCCTAATCTTAACAATTATCACTAAACTACCCCACTGCTGCAGGCAGGCCTCGTGAAAAATATTAGTGTCTATTCTCTCTGCTGTTTTCGAGCCATTTTCAATTTTCAGTTTTTAGAAACACTGAAAACACGTTTACTTAAATATTTTCAGAAACGAATTTCCAAAAAACGAGTTTAAAATTTACAAAGAAAACAGAAAACGCCAAAAAAGTTATTTTGGCTGTTTTCAGTTAAAATCAAGCCAAAACTTAATTTTTTTATTTTTGAAAACAATTTTTTAAAACGACAAAAAGAACTCGTTTTCAATAATTTCAAAATGGACACTCAAAACTAAAAACTGAAATACGAATAAAACAATCCCTAAGGGTTTTGATCTTGAAACTGTCTCTCATTTGATCGATTTTCGGTTCATTTTTTTACTAATATCGATGATCAACCAAACTTGTTACTGACAAATGGGCAGGCTAGGGAAATTATTGTATAAGGATTTTTTTTTTTTGAAGGTCAAGATAAAAATGATATTTTTACATGTTTTCTTTTTTAAATTTTATTTTTATGACATCTTCTTTTGCTATTTATCTTCTTTACATAGATGAATTGATAAGAAATAATTCTAAAGACGAAGTGAGGTATAAATTTATTGTTTCATGGAATTCGTGCTTCAGGAGTCTAAAGGTTATTTTTAGGTCTCGACATTTTAATTGGAATCGAATCTCTGAAACCGAAATTGAATCGGAACCAACGATTTCGACCCGATTCTCAAAGCAAATAAATTAGGAGTCAAAATTGAGAACTCAAAACAAATAAATTAGGAGTCAAAATTGAGAACCGATAATCAAAGACTGGATTTGTTTCAGTTCTTGGCTCTTGAACCAGGACGGTGGATACTCGAGTCAAACAGATTTTATATAATTTTTATTTACAATTTATAAGCTGTATTAAAAAAATAATGTATTTAAATATAATCTATAATGGACGGTGGGTACTCGAGTGAAAATTCTTTTATCATGATTTAAAATGAGACAAATATTCAGTTATTTTTGTATTTTTTTTATTATTTATTTATTTATTGATTTTTTTATATTTTATATTTTTGTCTATTTCAAAATACAAGGAGAAAATGTCTTTAACTCTCTCCTTAACGAAATTTTGATGGAAACCGGTATCAAGTACTATTGCTAATTAACGAAAAGAATGTAAAAATGTGGAGGACATAAGTTTGATAAATGTTGCACTTCAACTCTTTTCTATGAATTCCAATATTCAACCTTTCATTAATTAACACATCTTTTCCATTCAAATTTTCCGTGGAGATGACGTAAAATGACTTATTTACTTGTTATATATATTTTTTCAAAAATAGTAAGTGCGAAAGTACCAAAAAAAATTCCTTATTTCCAAACATTATATTTCCGCAAAAACTATCATAAAAAACGAGATGTGCTATTAATGAAAGGCTGGAATTAAAAATTCAAATAAAAAGTTAGGAGAATAAATGTTACTATGAGTAAAAATTAAGAACATTAAATAAAATTAAATTGTGGTGTAACTAATTAAAAATATTTGTGTGAATATAATTACCCAAATAAATTTCCAAAACAAATCTAATTACAATTGAATCATCAATTAAAGAATATCAAACTTAAATAATAAGGGGATGATCCCTAGCTAACTTAATGATCTAATTCACGACCCTACAATTCTTCCTGATTTCTCCCTCGTTACCAGTTACGACATCTATGTATCCCATCTTCATCATTGCAGCTGCAAACTTATGTTTCCAAGCCATTCCATTCTTGGCATTTTCCCTCACAATCCCAGCCGTTGATGGGCTACTCATAAGAGTCTGATCAGATGTTAACACCCCTTGATGATTCTTCAAATTTTTATAGTATTTATTGTCCAAACTGTTTGGTGTCAGCACATCAAGTGGCACAGTTTGATCATTTGCAGCATTTGATGGACACTTTCTCTTCAATTCTCTAGCAAACATAGGATCCAATGAAGGATCTTGTGGACGAGTTGAACTGAAATTGTAGAGACGTTTCGAGAAGGAAGAACAATGTGAAACTCCAATGGAATGTGCTCCCGAAAGGGTCACCATGTCTTGTAACGAAAGGCCTTTTCGCGCAAACCTTTCTTCAATCTGTTTGGCATTGAATGTAGGAGGAGGAAGGTCCTGATCTGGCTCGTCTTTTAGGGATATTCTTCCATCCCGACGCCCTGATGGCACCGCATATTTTATTCCACCAACAACATGAGCACTGTCGCGAGCAGCGAATGCTATGATATCTGAGCACGAGACTGTTTGTGGGCATATGGCCTCAAGTTCAGCCTTCGCCTCATCAATCACTTCATATCCACGCAAGCTCGGGTTGTTTGCTGGATTATCCTTCTCTGCAGGATTACCTGGTGTTGAATCAAGCAGCACCGAAGCATCACACCCCTACAAAACAAGAAACACTACACCAAATTAGTCTTTCTATGTCAGCAAAAAGTTATGGCAGGCAGTTAAAAATGTTCCGCCATATAATGATCAGCTAGTGAGACAGACACTCTCTAATGCTTAACTCAGTGTAATAAATTAAAAACAAAATATACACGAAATAACTAAGGGCATACCCTAACAAAGCAATCATGAAAATGCATTCTAATGAGGCCTGCTGCTATGCCAGGGTTTCTTGAGACAACTTTGTGCACTGCTTTCTTTACAATTGCCTCTGCAGAAGGGCAGCTATATTGGTAATAACCGACTTTTAGGGAAGCCAATGAAACTGTAGCCAATGTGCAAAATAAGATCAAGAAAATTAATGGGCTAAAAAATTTCACTCCACCAGTCATCATAATCATATTCCTAAAATAAATCGAGAAACAACTGATTTTTCTAAGGAAAGACTGTGTTTTGTTAAACCAAAGAACAATAGAGAAAGTTGAGGTGATTGTATGTTGGGTTGTTTTTGAAGTATATATAGTGAACAATGGTGGGGGTGGGGTGGGAGTACTGAATAAGTCTTTGTAATACTAAGTAAAGAAATCCGTGCGTAGATATTATAACAGCTGCAGATTCAATTTCCCTAATTTTGAACAACTCCAAGTGTTAAAATTCCTCCTTTCTGAGTTCCTTCCATCGATGTGGACTTGGTCTGTTTTCTCAGTAAAATTTATTAGTTTCTTCAATCAATTTATTTATTTATTTCCAGACAGGCATTGACAAAGACAACAATTGACAAAGAGAACAAAAGAAAATATGTTTCAAATCCACCCTCCGAACAAAACAAGAACAAGAAATATCAGAAAAACTGAATTTGGTGGATTCAGTTTGACTTTTTCCTTTTGATTATATTTTATTTTGCCATTTGGATTATTTATTTACAGTTGTTGACAATACAGTTTATAGGGGTAATTTTTTCTTATGATGCCCTTCCAACTAAGGTTTTGGACTGAAACAGTCAATAAGGATGAATCCGGCTAATTAATCAGAATTGTGGTTGGAGTTGTTAGCAAAAAAGGTTGGGACAAGATTGTGAAAAAGGAAGGTCAAAAGGTTTGGCACAAAGTTTTGGGAGAATTGCAGCTGCGGTCCCAAGCCTTTCAGATTTTTGCACACTTTACACTAACCTTTCATTTGTGCCAGCGGAGGTCCCAAACCTTTAATAAATATGCGGCGGAGGTCCAAATGGATGGTTTGACTGTTAGTCAACCCACAAAGTCAAAATTGGTTCAATTTTAACTCAATTCAAAAGGGTAGAATGGGAACTTTACAATTAACAAGTTAAAAAATAAAAAATAAATAGAAACAAAAGAAAAAAAA